CGCCTCATCCACCTCGCTATCGAAACACGAAGATCCATCCGTCGACCGCGAGTGACTCGACGGCATGGGGTGGCTGGATGGGGGTGCGGCGTCTGCTCCTGAGGTGGTGGTCATGTGTGGCGATGGAAGTGACGGGGCTGTGAGGGTGGCCGACGCTGTCGTCTGTGTCGGTGTGTGGCTGCGTGTGGAGGGCTCTGCAGGGGCAAGAGCCTCTTCGCTGACACCACATGGGTCGGCGTATTTCTTGAGCGCCACGCGGCCGTTCCTGTCCAGCACGAAGGTGTCGGCGGCCCGCGACAGGAACACGTCAAGCCTGCCACACATGCACAGATATCAATATGGGTGTTCTCTCTATCTCTGTCTGTGTGTGTGTGTGGACGTGGTTGTGTGGGTTGGTAACTGACCTTCCTCCGATGAGCGTCGATACGGCAATCTTGTGCTCCTCAATGAATCCGCCGCACAGCGCCGTGTGGTCCATCCGATAGACACAGTGGTCCTTAGCCATCTCGGTCAGGTACCGCTGCAGATCCTTGCGCACAATCCGCTCCTCCTCGGGTGTCAGCTGGCACGACACACCACCATCCTCACCACCGCCACCATTGACATCCGACTCTGACTCACTCGCCAACCACACCTGCACACACACATACAAGAAGGATGTCACACCACAACCACAACCACGCACATGCACTGCAGCATACCGTGTTGTTGACGAGCCTCAGCTCGTCCCGCGATCTGATGAACTCCCCAAACCCCCCATACTCGCTCCCCACCAGCCGCAGCGCGTCCTCGATGGTCGAGCCATACCGATAGCAAAACAGCAACGACAGCCCGTCCATCTGCGGGCCGTCGCCGACACGCCAAGTCGCCCGCTGGTGGTGCTGCAAAAGGTCGCGAAGCATGTGCGCCACGGTCCTGTCGGTGGCCGTGTCGTCCATCTCCATGTGCGTGCCATCGGTGAGCTTGGCTGTGCCAGGGAGGGTGGTCGACTCGAAATCAGTCAAACAACTGCATCCACACACACACACACACACAGTGATACCAAGACGCGTCCCTCGCCTACTCGCTGACCGTTTGGCGGTGGTGGCTGTAGCTATGCGGCATGACTTGCCGCCGGCCGTGGCGCTCACCACCTCCCATTGATCCAGCTCGTGAACTTGACTTACGCAGATCTCCAGCGACGACACCAAGTACTGTAGGGACCCACATACACATACACATACACCCACATCCACACGCACCCCAAGGGCGCTGTGTGTCTGGTCATGTGCAGACTCACTCTGTACGGTGTAAAGGCCGTATGGAGGTACTCCCTCACTCGTGATGGCGACTCGCCCAGGCACTGCATGAGCTCGCCGTGGGTCTCAAACACGGGGGCGGCGTTGACCGACACCGACAACATGCCCTTGTACTGACAACAGGCACACACAACATGGCGGCGTGGCTGCTTTGTGTGTATGTGTGTGTGCGTGTTGGTGGGGGGTGGATGAATTGTCTACGGTGAAGGTGACGGCGTTTGGGAGTATATAGAGCTCAGTGACGTGTTCGGGTGGCAGCAGCATCGTCACCATGCCACCCAACACGCGACACAACGGGGGGTACCTGTGCACACACACACAGCGGGTGAGGGGCAAGATGGCGGTGTTTTGTGATGGTATGCCGGGCCGACCGACCATGTGTCGAAGCTCTTGGTGGGCAGCCCCTCGGTGTTCGCGATAGGGTCATACTCAACTATCTCCCAACCTACCGCAGTGCCCTGCACCCATGCAGCCAGACAGACAGACAGGCAAATGGTATGTTGCTCGTTCCTGTGTGCGTGTGGTCCCCCCCTCCCTCCCTGAGTGACATGGCTGACATACGTTGTTAGCCGCCCCGCTTTTGCTGATGCTCTCCAAATTCAACCACGAATCGGACTCAAATCCCTGCACCCCCAAAAGCCGCGGACAGGAATACCATGCCGTCTGGCTGGCTTCCCACACGCGTACCTCCACGAGGGCCTTGACGTTCTGCGCCACCCTCAAGTTGAACGACTGCGATGATATCTTCAGGTGCAGCTCGCTGTACACCCCCTCAGCCACCTTGGCCTCACCCACGCGCCGCACACAGGACGCACCAGCCACTGGCACAGCAACCGGCTGCTGCTGTGGCTGCTGCACTGGCCGCCACCACGTGACCGTGACGTCATGTGGATACTGCTGGTGCTGGTGCTGGTGCTGGTGTGTGGATGTGGGTGTGGTTGATGTGTGGGTGTGGGGTGGGTCGGGCTGTTGGTCGAGAGAGGGGAACGGTGCTGGTTGGTCGGGGGCGCCTTGTGTGTGTGTTGGCGTGGGGACGGTGACGTCGTCGGCCTGTGACGATGAGGGCTTCTGGGTATGCGGCTGCGGCAGGACAGTGGTCGACGAGCTGGAGGTGGCCTCCGGCAACGCTGCGACAAGAAGGAAGGCAAACAAACACCGAACATAGTCCTCCTGTGGCTGCATGCCTGTCCTGTGCAATCCATTACCTGGTGCCTGTCCGTCTCCATCACACTTCTCCCCATCGGCCGCCATGGTCCTGACGGTCTCCTCCGCCCCGCCCGGCTGACCCGCACTCTGACGCATCAACGCCTCATCCACCTCGCTATCGAAACACGAAGATCCATCCGTCGACCGCGAGTGACTCGACGGCATGGGGTGGCTGGATGGGGGTGCGGCGTCTGCTCCTGAGGTGGTGGTCATGTGTGGCGATGGAAGTGACGGGGCTGTGAGGGTGGCCGACGCTGTCGTCTGTGTCTGTGGGTGGGTGCGTGTGGAGGGCTCTGCGGGGGCAGAGGATTCGTCGCTGACATCACATAGGTCGGCGTATTCCTTGAGCGCCACGCGGCCGTTCCTGTCCAGCACGAAGGTGTCGGCGGCCCGCGACAAGAACACGTCAAGCCTGCCACACATCCACAGATATCAATATGGGTGTTCCTTCCTTCTCTCTCTCTCTCTCTCTCTCTGTGTGTGTGTGTGTGTCTGTGTGTGTCTGTGGAGGTGGCTGTGTGGGTTGGTAACTGACCTTCCTCCGATGAGCGTCGACACGGCAACGTGGTGCTCCTCGATGAATCCGCCGCACAGCACCGTGAGGTCCATCCGATAGACACACTTGTCCTCAGCCATCTCGGTCAGGTACCGCTCCAGCTCCTTGCGCACCCTCCGCTCCTCCACACACTGGCGGGAGAAGCGCCGCCACGTCATAATTGCCTCAGCAATACGACGCGAGCGGCACCTCTCCATCTGACAGATGGGACACGGCGCGACGTCAACAAGTGAGTGGAGAGAAGAGCATGGATATTGACCAACCAGGGCTACTTGTCGCCTGCGCCAAGCCACTCGCCGCTGAAAGGCCTCCACCCACCCTACAACAGCACACATGAGGAATCCATTCATTAGAAGCACACACGACCCATTCATCTGGGAAAATATCATGCCCTTTAACTCACACATGAGGCCTTCACCCATATGCATGCTACAAAAGCCTGCAGACAGACAGACAAAAGGAAGCGGAGTGACTGATCATCATCAATCAATCAATCATGAATCATCACGAAGCACCGCATATACGTGTGAGTGACAGGTCATTGCAAAACTATGTATGAATGAATGAATGAATGAATGAAGGGTGAATGAGGGAATGGTTGAATGGCCGATGTCGACTGGCTATGTGAAATGAGTGAAATGATGAGTGAAATGATGAGTGAGATGAGTGGGATGAGTGGGATGAGTGGGATGAGTGGGATGAGTGAGATGAGTGAAATGAGTGTCACTGTGGTGTGTATAAGTATTGTATAAGTATTGTGTATGTCGCTCATCGCAAAATGGCTGGCGACCGTTGAGTGTGTCGTTGGGAGGTGTCTCGGTGTGTGTGTGTGTGTGCTGATGGTGCGTGTATGGCTGACTGCTACACATTCACATGTGTATACCGGTACATATACATGTATGGGTCGAGATGCATCGACCATGTGGTGCATTCTGATGCATTTCCCTCACTTTTCTGTCTATCTGGCTTCGTATGCATCATGTACACACCTATGTACTTGAGAATGTGCATACGAACGTACCTCGTATGATGTGTTGCGGCCGTGCCCTTCTGTGTGCGGCCTCTGCGGCTTCTTTCAGCATTTTTCGAGTTCGCGAGAATGGCAAACTGTCGGCTGTGGCCATGTTGACGGTGAATTCCTCGAGAAGCCTTGAGAAGAACGCCTCCTCCCGAGAAACTGCGTGAAAGCTCGCAAAACGACACAAACAGCAAACGACGGCTCAGCAGTCTTGATGGCTCTCGCTTTGCTCCCCTCGGCCGGTGTTCTTCGCCATCTGGCAGTGCACGAGCCCATTCGATGTGTCCACCGACACTGCAAAGTGGGCCCTGGCACATCCCGGCCGAAGTCTTCATCTTCGCTTCATTCGCTGTCCTGCTCCTTCATCGGCAGCCGACGGCGCACACGACCATCACTGCAGTCCACTCGGCCAGTCAAGTGACGAGAGAAGGCGAGTCGGCGCGACGAGAGCGTTTCTGAAACACGCGCACACTTTCGGTCAGTCAAGATGCCATCTTCATCATCTGTGACTCTGTGCTTCTCTGCGCCTCTCTGCTTCCCTGTCCATGATGGTTTTCGCTCATCAGGTGCGCCACATTTGACTCGCCCGAGCGAACGGCGCAGCTGCAGGACGACTTCGGAGCAGCAAGGTTCGGAGCAGCAAGGTGAGGTTCATCCCACTCAAGGGGAGTGGAAGGAGGAGGGAGGAGGGCGCGCCAAGCTAGCAGATCTCCTCCTTGATCTCGCAGCCGCTCCTCGAAGCGTGACCTGAGCCATTCTGCTCACCAAGTACGCGTGTAAGATGCATCCCCGGCTGTACTTGCATCGCTTTTGCATCTGCTGATGTTGCGTGTGTGTGTGCAGGCCAAGTTCGGGACACCCCCGTGCTCTTCTGCCTTGTCGGCATTGGCTGATGCTGAACACGGTGGAGTGAGGTCCATTCACGATGCATTCGGCGACCTTTGAGGTCCGACCCATCAGTGAAGAAAAGGGATCAGGTAGGTGTGGGATAGTCGAGAAAGACGCCTCTTTCTGTCTTGGTTGTGTCCTCTCCTTGCGATTCGGCAGGTCTGGTGGCTCTTCGCAACGTGGCAGCTGGAGAGGTTTTTCATTCAGAGTGGCCTTTCTGCGTCGTGCAGCACCCCGCAAAGTGAGCGAAATGAGTGAGCGAGCGAGTGAGAGCGTCACGATGTTTGCCTGTTCAGCTCAGCGTTCATCCGCGCGTGCACCCGCTGCTGCCGGTTTGCGGGCACGTGTGGCCTGCAGCTTGCGACGCTCTTCTCTGGCACTGTAGAGGAGGCTGTGTTGAACGAGCTGCCGTCGGTTTGGGGGCAGGAGAAGCTGTCAGATGTGGTGGAGTGCCCGCAGGGGTGTGGGGAGGTCTATTGTGGCCAGGAGTGCCGGGCTGCCGACTGGAAAGACAACCACAGTGAGCACCAAACAGCCAAAAGTGCCGATGTGCTGACAAGTCCATCTCTCTCTCTCTCTCTCATCGTTCAGACTTCATGTGCGTGGGGCCACTGGATGATGATGCTCCACTGGTACGCCAACCACGTGTACAGCGTGTCCTGCCATTGGCTCGTGCATGCACCTTCTGTGTGCTTCCACGTGCAGGTGCAGTTCAAGCAGCTGGCGATCGAGTATGCAGACACGCTTCTGCTGGCGGGCAAGGTTTTTGCATCCCTCGTCAACCGTGCGCAGCAGAGGGGGCGCGGGGCGGAAGCTGTGCGGGAGGGAATGAACGAGCTCATGGGTTTCACCCAGGGGAAATGGGACGATGTGGCCAGGCCGGCGGGGGCTACAGACGAACATGGGGAAGGAGAGGTGGGCGCACACGCATTCACGTGGAGGATGAGGTGGAGCGGACTGTGCAGTGAGGTGTGTTGTGATGGTCAGACGCTGAGGCTGCAAGTGCTAGCAGAAGCCTTCGAGCTGCTCAAGGTCAGCACACACACAGAGAGAGAGGGAGGTGTGTGTGTGTGTCTGTCGGGCACCGTCCGTGAACATGCATTTGTTCAGGCTGCGTTGCTGCCCGCATCCCCTTTGTTCGCCCCCCTCTTCGAAAGCGACGAATTCCTCTCAAGACTGCTCGGTGACTGACGGACTCACAGACAGACAGGCAGAGGGAGGGCGGGATGATCCGCGTCTGTCCTCCTGCATGGCAGGTATGTTCGAGAGGAACAACATTGACGTTGAGATTCAGTCTCCCCTCAAGCAGCTCTGCCACTCATGGGCACAGCAGCCACCGCCAGCAGCATCCTCATCCTCATCCTCATCAGTCGGAGCCGCAGCAGCCGGCCCCGCCAGCAATCCGGCCTTGCGACGGCTGCTGGAAGCAAAAACGGTCGTCATGCGGTGGGTCACACACACGAAGTGGATGGGTCGATGGGTCAACGAACAGACACAATGGTGTGTGTGAAGGTACGAGTGGGATGAGGACGAGACGGGCAACTACCAGTCGACTGCAGCAGACACCTCACCCGACGACGCACACATGGACGAAGAGACGGAAGATGACGATGAGGCCGACGAGGCGGCCGACGAGCAGCGGCTGGCATCGATCCGGGAGGACGTCAGGAATCTCACCATGGAGCAGCTGCTGGCCGAGGAGTGGCCCAACTTCCACGGCACGGCGTTCTTCCCCTCTGTGGCGCGCGTCAACCACTCGTGCGTGCCGAACATCAAGGTGTGTCAGAGAGCACCGCACACACGGCACGGCAATGTGTGTGCGCATGTTGTCTGCTGCTGTGTGATACGTGGGTGCAGATGGCCTATCCACGAGGCACGTGTGAGGTGTGCTTCGGTGCGCTGAGAGGCATCTCGTGTGGAGAGGAGATGTCCACCTCCTACATCGACAGCGAGGCGCCGCGCGACGTCAGACAGACGAACCTTCTGGAGTATGGCTTTGTGTGCCGGTGTGACAAGTGTGAGAGTGAGGCCGCGCGTGTCAACTTGAGGCGGTAGGTAGCTGATTGATTTGAGAGGTTAGACTCAAGCGTAGGGCCCTCTTGCACCCGCGCGTGTGACTGTTGTGGTGATGGTTTGGCTGTGTCGCGTCGGGAGACTGACAACGTTCCTGCCTGCCTGCCTGCCTGCCTGCTCTATATGACACACGCAATTGAATGAATTGAGCCGAGTGTCAGTGTCAGATGGCCCCAGTCCCACAGTGCCAAACAACAGCCGTCCCCCAAGCACACCAATTTATGGCCTCCTCGCCCCTCCACCCCCAAGCACTCACCCATGACAGTCGAACACTAGGCAGTCAGACCAGCCGAGGCACCCAGCCGATGTGGACGTCAAGTCAGAGACAAACGCCATCACTCACCCGGCCGTCAACACATTACCCAGCCCACAGCCCAGTGCAGCCTTAGTGAGTGGAGTAGAATGAGGGCGGAATGGGCGTCTTGAGTCCCTCTCGTGTCATCACGTGCGTGTACGTCCCGTTTGTGGTGGATGGATGGATGGACGGACGGACGCCTCATAGTGTCTGCGTGTCTCACGCTTTTCTTTGAGATTTGAGATGGTGTGGACACACGTCGGGTATGCGTCAGAAAATTGACTTGAAACGAAAGTCGGACGGATGACTCATGTCTGTCTGTCTCAGCCAACTTACCCCCCACCCCACACCCAAAGTGTCCAACCAACGAAACAGCCGACCCCCACAGCACCATGAATCCTACAGAAACATCCCCCCTCCCCTCTGTCAGTCACAAAGCAGGACAGGCGAGCATCACAGGCCAGGCTAACGAATTAAGGCACACTGGCAGCCACCTATGAAAGAGCAACCGATCGGCCGGTCAGCCAGTCAGTCAGTCAATCAATCAATTCCGTCACACCCACAGTCGCTTTGGCCGTTGGTTGACAGACAAACGCCATTACCTACCAGCGACACATGACCGCTCCCCCACCCCTCAGAATACATTCCCCACCCACAGCCACCAACGCACTCACACCATAGGTAGCCAAGTCGAGTCCAGTGGCCTTCCTCCTCTCGCTCACGTGTGTGTATGCCTCAGGCGGGCGCAACGTAGGACGGTGGTGGGGATGGATACGCACTTATGCACCTCAGCCGATGTTCTCAAAGCAAGGCGTTGCTCACGCGCAGTGCCCAGATGCAGAAGGCGAGCGCAGCGGCCGCACCTATGATCAAGAAGACATGCTCCCAAAACGACATGAGCCTCCCCAATTCTCCGTGCATCAACATGAGGGGGGGTCCTAGCACCGCCACTACGACTGCGCAAAAGCTGCAGAGGGTACCCATGAAGCTGAGGATCCAGAGGGGGACCATGGCCGCCTTCACGAACCCCCCACCGGCTTGGTACCACTTCTTCAGACGCTCATTCGCTCGGGCGAGGGCTCTCTCACTGGCCTGGAATCGGTCCTCGAGAGCCACGATGGCCTTGTCTCTCTGCTGCAGGGCCTCTGTGGTGTTGTGAAGGTCCTCCGTGAGGCGCGCGACCTGCTCGTGGAAGGCCGTGATTGCGGCAGTCTTATTCTTCAGATCCGCGGTGGCCGTTGCCAGATCCGCTGTGGCCGTTGCCAGCTGATCCTGGAGAAGCACGTTTGCCGCCTCCTTCTCACCCATGGCCACCTCGTGTTGGCCGATCAGTGCGTCCTTGTCCACCAGGTGCTGCTGCAGGGCCTTGATTGTTGCCTCGTGAGCCACCAGCTGCACACGGTTGATGTCGCCAATGACAACGTGAGCCCATGCGGCACCGCCAAGCACCACTAGTAGAAGGAACAGCAGGCAGTTGGCGCCGCCAGAGGCTGGGAGGGTGATGGTGATGCTGCCCTTGGCGGCTCTCTCCGCTCGAATGAGTTGATCTCCCGCCTCCTCCAGTGTCATGACGCGAGGCGACGAGCCCATCATAACACCTGAACCGACTCAGAGATGCATCCACACAAGCACAGCCGCCGCGCCTGAAATCAGGACCAAAGGTCAGACGAATTCATTTCAACAGCGTCCGATCTATCTCAGCGGCTCTGACCCGTCGGGCCGGGACCTCGGTGTCCGTTAACGAACGAACGAATGAACGAACGTTCTTGGAGGGAAGGGTCGTTTGCGAGCTCGAGGATCTCTGCTGGCTTCTTCTCAGCTCGCTGTTCGTCCATTCCGTGTTGGATCTGAGGCGTCAGATAGCTCTCTTGTGCGCCGCGGCAGAATGGACCTGGAGCAGGTGAGGAAGATGGATGGACGGATGGATGAATGGGTGGGTGGGCGGCAGAGGGCAAGGAGGGATAGATCATGGGCACAGATACCACGGACGTCATCCATGGCAGCCGGCAGACAGACTCCCACCGTAGATCACCTCTCTTTCTCTTCCTGTGTGTGTGCAGGCGCGGAGAGACCTCTGGGCAAACAAGACATGAATCTCGTGAGGGCTCTGCAGTGCCTTTTCTCATGGGCGTGTCTGGGAGCATTCATTCCGCATCTGCAAAACCACATTCGCCGGTCCCCGGCCGGCCAGCTGCTGTCCTTCATCGACAAGACCTTCCGCAGCATCCACAAGGGCACGCGAACAGCCGTTGAGCACCGCCGCCGTGGCAGCAGCGCGCTGCCGCGCCGCTGGAACGAGAAGCGCCGGGCTCCCGTGACCGATGTGTTGCCGCAATGCATTTGGCCCGCCTACAACAGAACGGTAGCTCGTGCCGCCCTCAATGCAGGAAATACACAGACGGTAGGTAATCCGATCCACTAATGGACGCAGAATTGTCATGGATTGGATTGGATGGTGGAAGACAGCATCTTCATGGATTGCTTTGATGGTTAATGGTTGTTGGTTTGGTCTTTGTGTCTTGTCCAGGTGCACGATGAAGATGTCTGCCCGCGCCGTGCCATGACCTATTTGTTCTTCTCGGACCGCCCCATCGCCAGTCCCGCCAAATCCCCGATCACCCAGGACGCACCATGCGACCATCACAGCGACCCCGAAGAGCCAATCCCAGCCATGAGACCTCGTCCGTTGCAGCGCCGTAGACACCCCCATGCCGTTCGCCGCCAAACTGACCCTCTGCAGCTGCGCATCGGGAGGGTCGTGTTTGAGCAGATAGGGGGCTTCGTCAAGAGGAGCAACACCGCAGCCAGTGGGCAGCAGCAGCATGACGAGCATGACCTTCTCATGGAGGAGGGAGGGGGGCTCAACAAGACATTGCCCAATGACACATCGGTGGAGAGCGTCATTGGCGGCCTGGCCACACTGCTGCGCAAGCATCAGGGGGAGGAGAGCCCACACCACGATCACCTGGACGAAGAGATCCCGACTGCCAAGGGATGGGTCTCTGTGCCGATGTGCAGTACGGCTCTCCACCTCTCACGGGAGCTGATCTTCTACATTTTGTCGGTGGTGGTGGTCGCTGGGGTCATTACCGCGGGCATCTTCTACGCCGTTGGCCGGCAGCAGAGAGGGTGGGATAGAGGGGGAGGCAGAGTCACCAGGCCGCCAGAGGCTGCTGCTGCTGCCATTGCAACTCGGCAGCGAAGGGGCCAGCCCGACGTGCCGTTCGGCCACCTGGCGCGGCACATCGTCAAGTTAGAGACACAACTGTAAGACGGAAAGGGCACCAAGCCGTCTACGCACGAGTGCGGGTCTGTTGTTGTGTCAGTAAGGAGCAGGAGAAACAGGCGGAGGAGATGCATCGGCGGAGCCTAGAGCCATATCGCAAGACGCTGTCTGTCCGAGAGCAGCAGATCCGGGAGCTGACGGAGCTGTGCTTCAAGCAGACAGAGGAGATCCATAGCGAGAAGGCCAAGTACGAGACGCAGATCGACCGACTACACGCCGAGCTGGTCAGGGGTGACACACACACAGTTACAGCTGCATGCATGTCGCCTCTTATGCTCCTCAATTCCCACATGTGTCTGTCAGGAGCAGCAGAAGAAGAACTACGACTCCATCCTAGAGGTGAGCAGCACAGCCAGACCCGCACCCCTACTGCACAAAGCATCCTCATTTTCCCTGCCTCTTCACTTGTCTCAGTTTGCTGTCCATTCACTTCGTGTTGGATCTGAGGCGTCTGACCGCGCGGCGGCTGCTCTCGCCACCAGCGCGCCATCAGCAGCATATGGCACATACCACTACCACCAGCATCAGCACGGCAGCGGCGTGTTTCCCGCCCCAGCATACACACAGGTGGGTCGGTGGGATGGCACACGTGCAGACAGGCAAGGCGACCCAATACAAAGGCCTCTCTGTTCGCAGACGGCGGCTTGTGTTCGGCCGTATCGTATCGTATACAGAAGCGGCAACCCCGAGCCAAACGATGGACCGGTGCGCAATCAGTGCACAATGCAGAGAGGAATGGGAAGGTCGCCCAGCTCTGTCCCTCTGTGTGTCCTTTTTGCTCATTTAGGCTGTGCACCGTCTGTCGCGCGACAACCACGTGTGCATCTTCAGCCACTTCCACCCCTGGGAGTTCTCGCGCATGCGGTCGGCCATCGGCCCCGCCTTTGAGATCGATGCCGCCCAGCCGTACACCCAGCTGACCCTCGACTGCACCGACCAATCGGCCAGGCGGATGTGGGAGAACCTGTCGTGCGACGCGGCGTATCAGTGGGGCCACAGGGCCCGCAACATCAAAGAGCTGACGGTGCGGCATCCACATGACGATCTCCAGTGGTGTGTCCCGGCGTGGGTATCTTTAGTCGAGGGCCATGCACACGGCCACTTGAGCGACCAACAGCACCAGGCCAGCGATGAGGCGTCATCTACAGTCGCTCCCCCGCCCCTCTCCCAGCCCCCCTCTCACGCCACCCTGCAAACCATCCGATTCGAGGGGGTCAAGTGTGGTCGGTCACGAGGCCGGAACGATTGGTACGAGCGCCGGCCCCCTCCCCCCTCCTCCCCCGTCCATCTGCCGGCCCTCACCACCGTCACCAACATCCCGGCCCGCAGCGCGTGGGCGCGTGCCGGTCGGGGGTGGGTGACACCCAATGTCACCACACTCACGTTCGAGGGCCGCTTCGTCGGCGAGGTCGAGTACGATGGGGCGCGCGAGTGGATCGGTGGCTGCGATCGGCTCGAGAAGCTCGAGTATGACACGGAGGGGTATAACGTCCAGGAAGGCAACGAGCGGCTGCTGACGGCCATGCCGGAGGGGCAGGGCCTGGCGAGCCTGCGGTCCCTCGGCCGTGTGCGAATGGCCGATGACATCGGTTTCTATTCGAGGTGGGATGTGGCAGAAGTGGACGAGTTTCGCCAGCTGTTGGTGCGGCGCGGGTGTGTGAGAAGCCTTCAGGAGATGGAGCTTGACGTAGGGGAGTATTTGGAGGACACCGCCGAAATGCGGCAGCTGATCGAAAACGCAGCAAAGCTCACGTAAGGATACAAGAAGAGACGAACCGGGCCAACAATACACATCGCCTCTTATGGTTTTTTTCTTTCCTGCCCGCTCTTTTCCAGTGACGCCGTGATGCATCCTGATGCCCGCCGCCAGCCGATCATGCCGTGCACTCGCGAGGACGGGCAGATCGACCTGCAGCTGGTCGCATGGAGCCGCCAGCACCCCTCCCCAACGCTGCAGAAGCTCGTGAACGACTTCGCCGATGGTGCCGATGCAGTGGTATTCGACGAGCGGCCACGCGCGTCTTCTGCCCATCCCATGATCCCCCCGACCTTCCCCCATTCGACCACGCTCATTCTCCCCGAGAGCTTCCTCGCACACGAGCAGGTCGGGCGTGCTGTGGAGGTGGCCATGAGAATGCCCCGGCTGAAGCGCATCGTGTGTGACGAGCATCGGGCGGCGATGGCCTTCTTGAAGGCATTGCACGCCGCGGCACCAGAGAAGAAACTGAAGTATTTGACTCTGCGACAGGATGTCGACAGCATCGTCAACGCGACTTCTGCTGAATGTGGCGATTGGAGCAGGACGTGGATCGAGCATCTGAACAAGCTGCCGTCCATCAGGAGCGCGATGATACTCGTTCAGGGTCAGCAGAGAGAAAAGAGAGCCGTTCACATGTGCTGCTTTACATCTGGTGCGTACAGGGGTTTTGCTGGACGATTCTCGCTTCGAGTGTCTGTACAGCCGACTGACGACGCTGCTCGTCACTCTCAGCAAAGCAAAGGTTGGTTGGTCCGCGCATCCAACCGGGAGAACAGTCGGGACGGCGGGTGTATGTGTTCGTGTGGTTCCTCTGTGTTCTTGCAGGACACCGAGGACTCGTGTGTCGAGCTATGCTGTGAGGAACGACTACTCGAGCCCCTCCGCGAGAGGTTCATCGGTGCGATGGCCCTCTTCAACCTGGCCAGCACCACGCATCGGCTGGATGTTTCGGAGTCGGACACCATCACGCTGGAGAAGATCGACTGAGTAGCTATAGCTGCCGCTGGCAGGATGGGGGAGAGAGGGAGAGGGATGCTGACAGGGTTGTGCAGCTGACTGAGTGAGACTAGAGTGCTTGGAATGCCGGTGTGTAGACCTGATTAGGAACGTGGGCACGTGTGTGGATGGGTGGTGCGATTGTATTCGAATGAATGAGTCGTGTCCAAGCCGCTGTCTCTCTCATCAGCAAGCGTCGGGCTCTGCAGGGTGGGAAATCCGACTGGCCCACAGCCACGATGGTGTGGCATTGGAGCAGTCGGCTTGCCCGAAACCTCACACACCCCGCCACCCAGCCATCTGCGCTTCGTCTACACTCATCAAAACTCGCACCCAAAACGGGGACACACTCACCTTCACTGCTCTTCGTTTACACACACAGGCCATCTGTACACATCACATCACATCACAGCCTGCCTCCTTCCAGCAGCAATCACGCACACACAATCGCACCAACACGCACGTCAGAACCGTTCCCCCAGGGCAGCGGCCGCCTTGCCCAGCATCTCACGAGGGAAGGCCGTCAGCGGACCCAGATCAAGCAGCCGCCGCCCGAACCACATCTCGCGGTGCAGCGATATCTTTCCTTCATCGTCAAATTGTATCCACACGCTGCATGGCAGAGGCACACTCAACAGGGCAGACGACGGCCGGGAAGGGCTGAAGGGCGACGCGCTGCTGCTGGTTGGCTGCGAGGCGGCTGATGCTGCTGTGGGGAGGGGCCTCTGCTCGTCACTGCCGTTGTCGTTGCTGTCGACGATCTCAGCCGCCCTCTTGGTGAAGGCATCTCTGCGGATGTGCCATATCATGTCCACGTCGATCAAGAAGCCTCGCTGATACTGATCCACAACCTGCACGCACCAGACAGACATGCACATCCGTAGAATAACAATGAGACCGCATTCTGCTCCCTTCTCCCCGCCTCACTCACCACAAACGACCGGACATCTGTCCGACATGCGCTCTTGACGAGAGCCAGCACACGGGCGAGGTCGGCGCGATTGGTGACACACACAGAGGGGTCCTCGAAGGTCACGTCGTGACGATACACATCAAACAGGGAGTCGTGCGGGCCGCGGAAGTCGAGGGCGTAGATCCGCCTGACGCTGGCAGCTATGTTCTTGCGGTCATCGAGGTTCGTCACAGCACCCAGATAGGGATGGAACTTGCCCTGCGATGGGACGAACCGGGGCGTGAGAGGGCACATTGCGGCGGCAATGGAGGCTCCTCCCAGTACGGCACTCGCGCCACCGACAGCGATGACTGCACTGCCGAGAGCCGTCACACTGCTCAGCTCCGCCATGGCTCACGCAGCAGGCGCAAGATGAGGTGATGACGAAAGAGAATGACGACTCAGCACTGAGTCAGCAGATCTCCTTGCAGCAGCGGTTTCAGGGAGCAGACCTCCTTGAAGCTGCGAGCTGTTGGGCTCACCTCAGAAACAGTGCTGCCATGCTGTCGCACTCCAGCTCTGCAAATCTAGGGGGTCGGAGCCGTCTGCCGCGCAGATCTCTCTATCGCTCGCCCCTACAATGAAGCAGCAATGAGGCTGCCTTTGGTGAAGGTCTTCGGCAAGTAAGTAAGACGGAAGCCAACACGCACACATAACCAGAGTCAAACACGGTGCGTGCTTGCAGGCCGAATTGTTGCGTGTGCGACACGGCTGACTTCCTGCTGAGGCGGATCCAGCTGACGCTGCCGTTTCGCCTGGAGAAGGTGGACATCACCAAAGAGGCCAGCTTGTATGAGCGGTACAAGGAGGCCATTCCTGTGATTGTGGTGGATGGCGTAGAGGCCAGCAGACTCAAGATAGACAGCAAGGCGCTGAGGAGACGACTGACTGAAGCAACAGCAGCAGCTGGTGCTGGTGGTGGTGGTGGACCTGGTGGTGGAATGACAGAGTCGTGATGTTATGTGTGTGGCAGTCAATGACTGATTTAGTTGTACACGCTGTGGCAGTCTCTCTCTGTCCGTCCATCAGCCATCCGACCATGCACAGACACACAGAGAGGGGGGG